ACGATTATCCGTAAACAAGTAAAGCAATATCTGCATATTCGACGTTCAACCAAAACACCCGTTCTTTTTCGTAATATGTTGCCAGGTGTTTAAAAACCGAATTACGAGTAACATTCTCATGTTATTTTTTTAATTTTTAACAATTGTTTTTGACTAAAAATGCATATTTTCTTAACACGTTCTCTGCCATGTCGGTCATTTTGACCGAAACGTGTCCTGTCACACCTCGCTGCGTCGGTCATTATGACCGAAAAATTCATCGATTCTATTTCTGCTTCTAGAGCGCCATCGGTCCCAAGCTATACGGTGCTGTGTATAGGGTGTGACCGAAATGGCCTATCGAGCAAATGGCACATGAAAACTTTTTGATATTTTTTCTAGATTTTTTCCTACATGTTTTTTTTTTTTTTTAATTGGGTAGATTAACACGTTATCTCAAGGAAAACATTTATTTATAAACATGAAGGTATCATATGAACTGGCGCCGGCAGGCAGTTCCAGTCTGGAGTCCTCCCACCATGCGAGTAGGTGATGAAAGTCTAGCCGAAATCGTGACCGACGCGGCGTACAACGGTCAAATTGAACAAATTGTGCCCTCCACGCCGCGTCGGTCATTTTGACCGAAATTTCCAAAAATGTAATATTTTCGATTTTTGATAACATAAAATGTTGAAACATGTTTCTTCCATTTCGAATACATCTTATGGATCAAAAAAACCTCTTGGCGCCGGATGACCAAATCTCTCAAAACACGTTGGCAGAGAACGTGTTAATAATTAAATGAAATTAATTTTCTCATAATGATTAAAATTTTCTTTATCTTTCAAATATTCTTCAAAAACTGTCAAATCTTCAAAGGCCTTTTTCGTAAAAATGGTTGAGTTTGGACCCTTTTTTGTTGAAAATGGGCCATATTTTCACTTGTTAAATTTTGTAGTCAAACCTGATACACCATGTATTTCTCTCGAATGTGAAGGTATCTTCGAATTCCGCCGTTTTTATGGCAATTTTTCATCGGAGATTGGCGGCCAATATTTTTATTATTTAATTGCAATGTGCAATCGAAGAAGACTAATCTATCATTAAATCTATCTACTCCTATCGAAAATACTATAGTAGAAATCGCGTCAATAAGTACGAAATACCGGTTTATGGTATTTCAATCTAGAGGGGATTGTGAATACTCATTTGTTTGGCATGGCTTTCGGCGAGAGGACTCCGCAATATTCAAATAGAAATTGTTTACCTGTGATATTTGGATGAAATTTAAATATGTTATTGGGGATGCCGAAAGCAACATCGTTCACCCTGGGAACAACTTTAAGACAGGCGAGGCGGTGTCAGCTATCCAATATTCGACTCTAATATTCAGAAGCAGAGTAACTATGGCAGATTTTGATGAACATAGATTTCTACGAAATCCGAGGTGAATGGAAAAATTTCAACCATTTTGATACCTGTCAAAACTCTGCCAAACGGCTGTACTCATATTTTTCAGTCTTCAATATTTTATGGTATGTCATTTGACATTTTTAACTTTGTAAATTCGGAGTTCGAAAATTGAAAAAAATTACAGAACTGTCAATTTGTGATAAAATATTAAACATGTTCATAGACGTCAAATTTTCACAGCTGCCAGACTGTCAATGACTTTGTTTAATATTTTATTACCAATTAAGTACCTTAAAACGAAAAAGAACCAATTTGGAGTCTTTTTTCTACGAAAACAAACAGGCTTTGACAGTTCTGTAATTTTTTTCAATCTTCGAACACAGAATTAACATACCTACAAGTTGGAAATGTCAAGGGACATATCAAAAACTGAAAAATACGAGTGCTGCCGTTTGGCAGGGTTTCGACAGGTGTCAAAACAGTTGAAATTTTTCGATTCACCTTGGTCGACTTCGTAAAAATCGATATTTCGTTGGTCAAAATCTGCCATAGTTACTCTGATTCTGGATATTAAATTCCAATATTTGACAGCTGACATCGCGTCACCTGTTATATATGAGGTTGTGCCCGGGCTAAAAAAATGTTGCCTACGACCACAATAACATAATTAAATTTCATCCAAATATCATGGGTAACGAAGTCCATTACATACCTTCTTAACGACCCTGTACGGTCCTTCCAACTTCCAACGAGTTCCAATGTTCTTTCTAATTTCGGGCTCAGTCCCTCGTTTCGCTGTGGTTGATACAACCAGACGGAGTCGCCTTCAATGAAAGTTGTCAATGACTACCGTTTGTCGAGTCTCATCTTCAGCCTGTCATTGTTTAGACGTAGACTATTCCCGGCGAAATCGTGAATTATTTTGTGACTATCCTGGTATCGGCTACATAAACTGGAAGTACAGCTTCGTTCATCGGTTGGTGTTCTGCCAAGGAAACTTTTTTCTTTTCCAGTCGACAGAACTGATGGAGTTTAGACAGTTGATTCATGCTGACATTTATAAGTCTGGGGGAAAAGATCCACAAGTTTATGTGTCCGGATGGTCTTCATCCACAATTTCGAGGGATTGGTTGTCCAATTGTGCCTATTGCCTATTCCGTCGGATTTTGGATGAGTATAGTCGTTCCCGTTTTCCGTATTCCTAGTAGCTTTATTAGTTATTTTCATACTTCGGTCCCAAGATTCCTCTCCGGATCGGTATGAAGTTCCATCGTTTCCCCTTTTCTAGCTATGGTGTTTTCCAATAATTCTTTAGCATCTGTAATCACATATTGATTGGAAAAACTTCTAGTCAGTTCGGAAAATAGCGCATAGCAACCATGAGATACCTTTATTCTGCTATGAAAAAAGGATCTGCGATATCTACCGCAATCCTCCTCCTGGGGTAATCAGACTATTACTGCTTCATATCTCCTCGAGATCGTGTCTTGGGTTCTCGGAACTGAAAAATCCGGTGATCCTATCAATATCTTTCTGTGTTTGTTTCCGGTCGTATAATTCATAGCAGTATCGAGAGCAATATTAATGACAAGAATTACGATTCCAAAATCTTGATAACTAGAATCTGAAGCACCTGGCATGCACATTCTTCCGTTTAATTTCTACATTCTATTTTTGTGGTGAATGGAATACTTTTAACTTAGATTCAATGCCATAACCTAACTGATGTTTCATAAAGTGTGTAAAATGTATAGCAAATAAAATTATAAATGTAACTACATGCATAAAAAATAATATCTATATGGAGAAATGTACTACAGAGATATTAATCTGCAGTGGTTTATTTCGAAATAAATCTGAAATTTAGAAATATGTTCCATTATAATTATCGTACATAATATGAGAACTGTTAAATCCATATCACATAAAAATATACTGTCACGGATTCCACACCAAAAATCACTTCACAAAGAATAACACCTTTTATTGAACATATTGTCTTTATAAAAATTTACTTATCACTTATCGCTTTTATTAAACCGTATACAACAAATCTCGTATTTTAACTGACTACAACCACACTATTATTTGAACAGATCGCAACAACACTTTCATTTAAACTGACAACAAAACTCTCGTTAAAACTGGCACAATTTAAACTGACCTCAAACTGACTCAATACGCGATTTTTATAAACGTCGTATTCGGGATTTCTCTAGAACAACTTGAACAATAGAATTCCTCAACACCCGTCCTTTAATGTAAACCTTTTTTGCTTATGCAATGGAATTCTCCGAATAGTTCCGCTAGAGTTAGTAGTAAGCAATTGGATTCTTAGAATCTGGCTGGGCTTCCAATGCAATTCCGTACCAATACGTTGCATCTCGAGACCGTTTTCCCGTTGATGATCTATCGTAAGTACTTGAATCCATTGCTAAATTTGCAGTATCTTCATCTATCGATACAACGGCATCCCGTCCATCATTTGCACTTGGTTCTAAATATTCTGGAACCAAGTGCGAGAGCGAGTTGATAGCCTGAAAGATATACTCATCATCATAGACATCATACTTCAGCTTATAATCTTTTTCCAAATTAAAGGTATGTGTAGAATGATATTCAGGCTTAGTGAAATGCGGCTTCTGGGCACTGAACCTGCTCCTTAAAGTATCTTGATTGCTGCTCTGCGTTTTTCTTATTATTGGTTTTAAATTTGAACGCCAACGATAACGAATTTTTATGTGTCTCAGCTCAACTCCTTTGCATATGCATCCACATCTCCTTCCTCAAATTCGTGATTTTCAGTTGGCATGAACATACGATGGGAATACTTTTGGTCTGAATCTTCTGATCTCTAATTTTATAGAAATTAATATATACTATTTTTTCCTACCAAAATATTTTCATTTTGCAGAAATAGAATAAAAATTTCCAATCCCTTGCTAATAACGATGCTAATAACTAATTTTGCTTAATTTTTTCAACCAAATGTAGAATATTTATATGAGGAATATGATACCAAACTTATTGAAAAACATATCTTTAAGATTGCAAAGTGAGAAGGTGTCCGCAAAGGACTCTTATTTTTCTCTCTTCTTCATGCCCATAGGTAAAGGGTTCAATTACCGCTTCACGGATACATCCTAGTTATTCTTGCAATGTAAGTTCCGGCATTATCGCATCAGAAAACTCAGAAAATACTGCTACATGTTCTTCTACGATCTCAAATATATGCCCACTTTAAATAGATGCCTGCCCGTTTGAAAGGTTTTAGTTAAATCCAATACAATCAAAGGCTTTGTTATATAATTTCTCTGTAATTATTATATTTATCAATCTCAACACTTCCAAGTTTTAAGACTTTCACAAGTTAACTTCAACACTAACGCAAGTGAAAATTTCGAGCACACCCTCAGGATTTGGTGCTAATTTGACATGACAATTATAGCTCTGATTAAGTTTCCAACAACAACGCTTAATTGCCTATTGCTATTTGTCATTTCCGATTCTACGCAGCTAGTGGAAGAGCATCTAATCTAGATAAAGCTCGAAGAATAATTATTGTAATATAATTTGAAATTTATTTGGAGTTTGTGTTATTGTTTCAGGTACCGTAGATCTCATAAGCAAAAAGGATATATCACAATATACACTGGATCTCAAATTTCATACAAAACGACTTACGTCCAAGTTATTTGGATATATTTCTAAAACAGACTCATCGATTGGAACTGATTTGCATATGGATTATAAATTTATAAATACGAAAGAGCAGCGAGTATCCTTAAAATTCAGTGTTGCAAATAGATCCAGGAAAAATCTGGCGGTTATTTTGGGAACTTGTGACATACAATCCACGGCATATCCAAATTATAATTTCTTCAGCAATGTTACATTTCAGGTAAGATAATTCCACCACTGTTTTAGTTTTTAGTTTAGGTACGCTGGGAAATAAGATTGAGTTTGTAGCAAAATCCTGTTTAATAAAGCACGCATTAAAATGTTTTTAACGTTAATTATTTAGTAAGTACCTATTGCTAATTGCTATTAGGAAAAAGAAATCTCCATTACCTATTTCTTAAGGAAAGTATGTTTATGTTAAAAGAAAATCGTTTAAAAATATCATAAACTACGATGAAATTTAAGCAAATTTACGTTCTCTAATGCTTTTATGTATTTCCTTGAAACGTACTCTGTATACTAAGTACATGAAAAAATTATACCTACTTGAAAATGATTTAAAAACATTAACTGTATTTCAGAAAAGCGGCAGTCACTTGGAATTTAACGTAGACCTAATTCAGAATCCCCTGCCTCTAAATGATACTAATTCAGATTTTGAAAGCCTTAAATTTGATTTTAAATTTTCGCACAAGGCTTTCACCGATAATAAACAGACAATTAAGGCAATATCTACTGTGAAGCGTAAATCTAGTAATTTGGATATGAAAGGGATATTTTTTTATGAAACTGCAAACTTTGATGTAAATATGGAATGTGCCGTGAATTATGGCGACAACAAGCAAGCTGCTGTTACAATATTTTGGTCTCATCCACGTACTACAATGGAAGAAATTAAGGCACATCTTAACATAACTGTGCCAACGTTTACTCCAATGATTTTAAAAGTTGAAATCAGTGAAATGCAGAACCGCGACTACAGAGTAAGTATATCTGGGTCATAATCTGAAAAATAGTTCTAATATTTTTTTAGCTTGACATAAGTGGTACGTGGTTTAGTGGTCATAGTGCCCATGCTGTAGGCATTTATCAGGACTCTAGTACTGCTCTAGCGTCTAATCATCATTTGAAAGTTTTTATCAAGTCTCCGAGCTTCAAAGATGTCAATGCGGACCTTTTGTTTTATAGAGATAATGAACAACTTAAGATTGATGTTGAGGTAAGTGATCAAAGCACTAATTTGCACATAAACTATCCTGCAACTTTCCTCAAGTAATGATCAGAAATATTTTCTGCCTAGTGGTAATCTTGAATCTCTTTGAATTTCCCTATCTCTGAATGCTTCTAGACGCACGTGTAACTGCTATTGTAATTGTAAGCTTTGGAATGTTAGCATTATTCATTTTATTGAGGCAGAAATTACACAAAATTGAGGAATTCAGAATTCTATATCACAGTAAATTTTATGTATATCATGCGACTTTCCGCAGATTTATCGCAGCCGACCTCCAATCAATCAAGTTTATGGAAAAACAGCAATAAATCTGCGAAATCTCGCAGGTTATTAGTATGTTATATACTATACTTCTTTCTATAATCCACGATATTCCGTCATTTCAAGTAAGCAGGAAAAATGACATACCGTTAAAAATGCAGCTATATATCCCATTGTAGAAGCCGTAGGCATGTAAGCAAATTTTTTCTCTATATGGCCCTCAATCAACGCTTTGGTGTATCATTACCAGAAGTCTGAAGTTTAATTTGAACGTTGATTGAATACGACATCGAATAATCGCTTTTCAGACCATCACAATATACAGGGTGTAGAAAAAATAGTGTACCGGACTACATATGAAACTAAGAAAAAAATGAACATATGCCCTAAGATGCTCCCTGAAGAAGTTACAGCCCTTCAAACGGTAGATGAAAATAATAGATTTTATTTATTTTCAAGACAGTGGCAAACTATTTTCCTTGAAGTTTGGTATTCTCGCATACATTTCGATGCCAAAGCGAATGGATAGTAGAAAAAGTCGTAACAGTTCTGTAAGGGTAGTTTCCATAAGGGTAGAGGGTAGTTACTTACAAAACAGAAACGCATCTTAGGGCATATGTTCATAGGAACTTTTTTTCATATTTTCATATTTTCATATTTTCATATGTAGTATCACCCCTCGAAGTCCGGTACACTATTTTTTTTACACCCTGTATAATTATTTTTCTGTCAGAAAAGCTCCAAATTGAATGCGTGAACTGTTATTCCCGTATTTGAATTTTTGGAGTTTTTTTTTTAAATATAAATCACTAAATCGGTATCGGAAGCTGTTTGGAATTTAGTTATTAACCAAACCATACTTTCATTAAACCGGTATCGGAAGCTGTTTTAAATTTAATTATTGACCAAGTTTTTGACTGTCTTCTGTAAAATTTTTGTGGCGACAGATTTAAGCAGGACGTAGACCCAAAGAAAATTAGAGTGGATATAAAAACTGTCAGAAGACAAGAAATGTAGTCCTACAGTTAAAAGTAGGAATGCCTCAGAAAGAGCTACTTTCCACGTACAGAAACCATCGAAACTATAGTTTTTTTTCAACCGGATGCAGTATCATTGATCCAATGAGTGTACTATTAAATGGTTGAGAAGCAGAAAGAAAGAAAATACTTTAGATGCTGGGCATGCCAAGGCATACTCTGAGGTACCTAATCGAGATAAATAAATCTGTCTGCGATGTAAAAGAGAGGAACACAAAACAGCTATTAGTTTTAGCAAAAGCTCGATCCGCTTCAGACAAAACAAAATGTCATGAAAGACCGGAAAGACTAGATATTTGACGAACAAATAGATACGGCAATTAAAACACTCGACACAAAGGTGATGGTTTAAAACCAGGGACACTGCCATGGATACATATATTTTGCAACACAAAACACAAGAGTGGACAGTAGTATACAGTTGCTACGCCTCTATACTCATCAGAAAACTATCAAAATACAGAGGTAAAGCTCATCCTGTTATGTGTAAATCAAAACAAGTTCGGAATGTTTTCTGTGGTTTGTCAGATAAAACAGATACCAACAAACTATTTATTCGGTGGGTGATTTCCCTAAATAAATGTCACCTTGCTACATTTTTCGCAATATTGTTTCTTTATTTGTCAGAATATTTTTGCTCGAGAAAATGCCGTTTCCGATGGAATAAGAAAGTAGAATAGTGAATAGTTTGAAAAATCATAACCGCACCTTTGATTTACGTTTAAGAATCGTTATTATTAATTACTCCATTGACCCCGTCGTGACATGTTCCTCATATTCCGAGATATTTGCGAGGTCGTCAATTTTTGTTACCTACCACGTCTTGACCGTGAATATTTTATTTTATTATTTCTTATTAAACAATTATTAGGATACGGAAATCCCATGAAGTTAGATTGTTTTTTTTATGTGTCTAAAAGAAGGGTCAAAATTAGGGAAAATAATTTGGGCAGTTGTTAACTTATATTAGCAGTGGGACATAATTTCTAAATCCTACAAATAAATCGGCAATTGCCACGAGAAATGTAGCCTTCTAACGTAAGCATTTTTTTTAAAAAGAAGGAGCTTGTAGAAACCAAGGTTAATCTCGAACCCAAAAAAAAATAATGCCAAACCTAGGAGTTTTTTGAACTATAAGGTTGGTGGGGAATCGAGTTAGGCAACCTAATACGGTTCGCCACCTATTATATCTAGGTTAGTGATGCCGCGAGACTCGAGACTGGTCTCGTCTCGTTTCGTCTCGTCTCGAAAAGTCGAGACGAGACTGGCTTTTGGTCTCGTCTCGTGAAGTCTCGACGAGACGAGACCAGACTCGGCGAGAGTCTCGTGTAATCTTGAGTCTCGAGATTACACTTAAAATTTTTCTTTCATACCTTTATTATTGGACTATTTTGGGCTATTTGGATATGAAATCAGTAAATTAAATATCACGATTACTCTTTACTGTGATTTTTCACTAATTGCTTTTTCACTGTGGCAGTTTGGACTTCCGTTACAATAGTGTAAAAGCTCTCCACGTAGTAGGGGACCCTTTGAGAAACTCTAGAAAAATAATTAAATTAAAAAAATCCTTCTCTAGCATTATTCTTGGTAATATGAAGAGGTAGATGTGAAAATTCACCTTCGAATTCTTCAGGTAATTACATGGGTATTTAATTTAATTCTCTGACATATTGTCAACGGGATATTTTCAGTGTTGCCAATTTTAATAAATATTAAAATGCAAATAACTTTCTTAAGAATGCCACTAGTTTTTTTAAAGTATTTTTCTGGGGTTCCTTGTAGGGTCCTCTACCACGTAGAGAATAGTTTTTACGTTATTTTTTGGACACCCTGTATAACTCGAGACCAGACGAGACCACTCGAGACGAGACGAGACTTTGGTACTCGAGACCGAGACTAAGTCACGGTCTCGTCTCGAGGTGTCGAGACGAGACGAGACCAACCCTAAGTCTCGTCTAGTCTCGTCTCGCGGCACCACTAATCTAGGGTCGTATTAAGGTCTTTTGGGGCCCGGGGCTATTTTCACAAAAGGGGCCCCTAGGTCCCTGAAATAAATTCAAACATCACTCAAAATTTTACCTTGCAGATTAATAGTTATTTATACACCAAGTGAGTTAAATGAATGTTTATTCATGGGAAGAAAGTTTAACCCACGAGCTCTAGCGAGTGGGTTAATGAATAAACGTTTTAACTCACGTGATGTAGGTATACAAAATTTTATCCCATTTTGTGGAAATTTAGAAAATAAAGTAGAAGGAAAAATGCCGGGAGTGAGTTAAAATTATTTTAAATCACTGAGGTTTCAGATTTTTAGTTGGGCAGAGTGACTTAAAATGCCGAGAGTGAGTTAAAATATTTTTAAATCACTGAGGTGATAAACGTCTACTTACCTTTATTGTTATGCGTTCAATAATGTCATTTTTAAACGTCAAAATGGGATAAAAAAATGTAATTTTGGACAAACTGTTTGATTTGGAAATTTTTTTTCTTGAATAAATATTTCTGAATTATCCACCACTATCACCGTACTTAGTAACATTTCTAAAATTTGTTTTTTAAATCAAAATAAAAATTAAAAAATTGGCAAATAAAAATTATTGCCATGTAATCAGCTAGATATAGTTATAGTAGTTCTCTACAACTTTCTCGTATAAATAGTTTTGATATTATGCATATTAACGCCAAAAAGTTATGATTACAGAATTACTGGTGGTTAACGCTCTCAAATTGTAAAGGGGCCCACATACTGCGTTTTTGTTGGACAGTTCTGAGCTGCTTTCCAGTGCCTAAATTGTTAGAGTATCATGCTCCTGGAGTGTGACGCTCTTGAACTGTTCGCCATAAGCAGCACTGGAACGCTTTCGTCTTAACCCCCACCATTTCGGACTTCAGGAGCATGGAACACCGCAATGGAGGTTGGTGCACGAGGGGGCAGGGGATAACAAAAATGAGTAGTTCAAGTGTACGACACTCTAAGCACTGGAACGTGCAAAGTAATTGTGGAGCACTCCTGAGCTGCTCAGGAGTAACTCAAATGGGTCACTGGAAAGCACCTCTGTTGTACGTGCAAATCTGATCGAGCAAAAACGACACAAAACCGAAGTGTGTGTGCGAAAAATTGTCGTTTTTGCTGGCATACAAAACCGATGCAAATATATGGCTTCACCTGATTTTATGTTCGAAATGTCAACAAACCTGAAGTGTGTGGGCTTCGAATTTTAAAAACGACGGTTTTGTTTGGTGTAAATTATATGCATGATTTCTTCCCCGCGTGAGGTGGTGTTTTGGGGCCCCCCTCATTTCGGGGCCCGGGGCTTTAGCCCCCAAAGCCCCCCCCTTAATCCGGCCCTGATTTATATCAATGGTAAGCATCTATCGCCGAGACAAAAATTAAAACATAAATTGAGATTACTGCTTTGACTTAACTTATGACTCCGGAATACCTATTTGCTTTGTTCATTCTCGATAACTTATGACTCCATAAAAACTGCGAAACGGATTGGAACCACTCTTCTCAAAACCGGAAAATCTACACTGTAATAACGTTGGTTGTGAAAAATGTCTTCAACTTCTTGGAAAGTAATCCTACACAATGTCTAAGGAAAAGATTAATTAGTCTCTGAACGAAAAATTATCGTAGAATATGGAGACACGACAAGAAAGATAGAACCAAGAAATGGCGTTTCTCAGGGTTAGGCATTCGGGCCCAATCACCGGAAGCAGTCGCGGAAAGACATAATTTTCATCGGATTTGCTGACGATATGCTATGGTTGTGATCGACGAACAGAAATTATCTCTCATCTCTCAACTAACCCAAAGTCAAATTTGAGAATGTTATAACCAGAGTCCAATCCCAGATACTGTCTGCCGCACCAGTTTCGCATACAGTAACAAACAATAAAGGATCAGAAACAGGAAGAGAAGGCTAACTAAGATTCAATGGCTCATAGCGAATGCTGGAATTAAGTAGTAACGTCGAGAGAAAGGTCCGATTAGTTTAAGCTCCCGAAGACATCGAACAAATAACGGTGGAGTGAGAGATACAAACCTTCAGCAAGCGATTAGAATGATTAGACATAGAGCCCTATTCGAAACCGTTATTCATGCACTGGAGTATGAAGCAAAATTATGGAGGTGAGGATACCGGAAGAAAGGCCGAACACAAAGGCAGATATTTTTCAAAAATATATAGGCGACGCTTCAGAAGTACTGCGCTATGGAAGATAACGATTCAAGATTCAGAAAATTTATACAAATGATACAGTGTTACCGCTACGACCCAGAAGGACATATTAGTAGAAACAGTAGGCGATGTTTCCGTATAGAAGTTCACAATCCAAAAAAAAAAAATACTGTGCGAACGAAAAATCGGTATTTGTGACCCAGAAAATTTCAATTCATCTTGAACAAAATTTTCCAACTCGTCACTCGAACAAAATTTTTCCAGTCAGGGTAGTCAATCAAATGGCAAACCGGGACCGGGTTATATTGATAAAAGGGCAGGTCATCAGTTGAAATACAACTCAGTTAGATAGATGCGCGAAGGAGGAACCTGATGAGCAGACTCATCGCTAAAACTGATAGATAATTCCAAAAAGAGTTGGAATCATTCAGGCCAAGAAGAAAAGAAGAAAGATATTGATAGTATGAAAGTAGAAGCTGATGTTATAGTGAAAAGAAAAATTACTGGCCAAACTAATTTGGTAGAATGTACATAATTCCAGGAGGTACCAAACGAATTCGCCAACCACCACGAAGACTTCGTTCAGGGAAGGAAGTTACCAACATCTTTCAACAAATGCTGAAGAAAGAAGTCATAGAGAATTCAAATAGTCCAAGATCATCACTGGTCGTACTGGTTATCAAAATTGATCATTCCACGAGGTTCTGTGGGATCATAGAATACTAAAAAACGTTACAAATAAATAGAGAGCTAACTATTACCCCGGATTGATGACACCCTCGATGTCCTATCAGGATTCAAGAAAACTTCATTTCTAGACTTGAAAAGTGCATATTAGAAATAGAAATCAATAAAGAAGCTAAAGAGAAGACTTAACGTCATACCGATCTGATTATGCAATGCACCTGCCACTTTTGAAAGACTGATAAAGTCTTGCGAGAACTCACTTGGAAGACATGTGATTTGCAAAGATCTGAACAAATTTGAAGAAAGTTTTGGCCAGGATTCGAAATGCCAACATACATTTAAATCAAGTGTGTTCTATCCCAGGAAAAAAAGAAATTCTTCGGACATGTAACTTCAAAAGGAATAGAAACGGACCCACAATTAGTCCAGGCGGTACGAGATTAGCCAGGACCAGAAAACAATCATGAAGTCAAAGTTTCCTAGGACCCTGAAGTTACCACCGCAAGTTTGTCAAGCATATTGGCAAGATTGCGAAGCCGTTCAATCCGACCAACACCCTGGTGTCAGTGGTCTTTCATTAAGTTGAAAAACATATTTACCAGTGCTCCAGGCTTGGCGTAACCCATAAATGAACGACTTTTTGTGTTAGATACTGAAGCTTCCGAAAGGGTAATACGAGCGTTTCTCTTCCAAATTCGAAATGGCGACGAAGTGGAAATTAAATATTTAGTAAATTCCTTCGAGCTTGTGGTAGTATTAAAATCAATTGTACAATACCACAGTTTTCTATGTGGACAGAAGTTCCTAGTTAGAACCGGCCATTCTGCCTTGCAGTGGCCGCTTATTATTGAGATCCCGGAAAGTCAAGTCACGCGTTGGTTGGAAAAATCTCTAACAAAGTTGCGACTTCAAAGTCAAACATCGCAAAGGAAGAAAGTCATTGCAACTTTGATAGCCTATCAAGAAAACCACGTGTTCACAACTTTTGCAAATTTTCCAGGCAAATGGAAGAAGGAGGCTGCAAAAAATTCGGATTGTGTTCAACGGATAAAAGTCCAAGTAAACCGAAACTGAGACAAATGCTGACAAAGATATTACCAAAGAAAACGTCAGAAAAAACAAATTGCTGAAACCGAATTGGAAATGGTATGTAGCTAGTAGAAAATGGACCAACTGGATATCAAGAAATTTCCTTTTTTATTTAAATGGTGTAGAGGCACTACCTTCAATAGGATTCGTTGTGAGTGCGAGGTTACTAAGAGATTCATCAATGGTAGACCAGGTGGTAAAAGCCTACAACACTACATCAGACCAATGTGCTACGGACCATGGTGGAGACAGAGTGCAACCTGAGCTGCACAGTTGTCGCAGTGGTGGCCAATTCGGAGAACAAGCACGTTGGCTCAAGTAAGCGATTATTATTTATGGATCAGTTATCGTAGAGATGTCGAATAACTGTGCAAGAGAGATGCGACATCTTTGCCAACAAGAAAGATCCGAATACATGATCGCGAAGACAAGTTAACCAATAATTGTCTGGTTGCCACTGGGAGAGAATTATGTTGGAAATCGCAGGTTTTTTTGGTACGGCAGAGTCGAGATATAAGTAAGTACCGCATGATTGCTATTGACTGTTTTCTGAAAGTGGCCAGAAGTAGTTCAAATCCCGAAAAAAGAAGCGTTACACTTGTAACAGTTGCTAAAGCGTCGCTGGAAAACATCATAGCTAGACATGATGTAGTTAGCTAGTTTTGTGATGATTTTTGTTTTATCATTTAATTTGGAAAAGTATTTCCACTTACGTAATCAGTAATACTATTAAAGGGTTAGCGAAAATCAGCAGAAAAGACATTAAATAACGCCTAAACGGCTTGAGCTATTTAAAACAAATTGCAGGATATCAGAAAGCAATGGAACAGAGAAGCTAGAAGCGTGAATAAATGCTTAAAAACTTGATGAGAAAAAAGTTCAAGGTGCTTTTAGGTGATTATTTCTGTGATAAGTGAAGATCATGAGATGAATTCCTAACGTAATACCGAAACATTGTGTTAATTCGTTAAAAATTAATCATCCAAAATTTTTCGCATTTGGTAAAAACGAAGCCAGTTTTTTCAATAAGGTTTTAAGATTTCCAATTTTCTATTTTATTGTGCGAAGTGCCGCGTTGGTTAACCTTAACCATACCACCATACCTATACATTTCATGAATACATTATTTGTCAACTCAATTTTGCACATCGAGTTTCTTGACATCATAAATATGACATAAACTTCGCCTTACGAGTCTAGCACTATGGAAAGAATGCGGATAAAAAAATTGCAATATCGCCTATTTGACTTCCAATAGAAAATACCTTAATATTTATCTATGTTACAAACCTACATTTATAAGGAAAAAGTAATATTTAAAAACGCTGCGCGCACGCCTATGACAGGCAGCATAAAGCTCGAAATGAATGGCGTTATTTCCCCTTGCCCTTCAGACGTCGTAGTGTTAGACTCGTAAGACGAACTATAGGTCTAGCGTCTTTAGTTAGCATGTGTTGACTAAAAGGCTCGTAGTAATACGCTGTTGGTACAATACCTCTGCATAAAAAAAATTTAATGAACAAAACTACAACTCCAAACTAACCTATAAATGGTATAAATAAACTCCTATCCCAGTGAGAAGAAAATTGCTTTTTTTTTTTCTCATTTATTGAAAAAATCGTTTAATTGATAGTCGGCCCTATTTATTTGAAATTCCGTTCTCAAAGGATTTCCACTAAAAGCATGATCTGGAATATACGATTTTCAGTGATAAATCACCAATGCACGATACCATTTTCCACTAGGTAGCTTGCCAATTTTATTGAAAACTTTTATCCAGCGCCAGCGTACAGATTTTTTTATAGAATATCATTGGAAAGAAAAAAAATTACACACTCCATTATTTTCAAATATTCACCTAATAGATGACATAGATTTTTTGGCTATTTTTGTATGATCATATGTTTCTATTTATTATTTTAAGGCTATTCATGAAGAAAATGACTACCAACTGTTTATAAATCATAATTCAACATCTGACGAAGAGATGCACACAAATGTCAAAATAAAATGCGGTACTAGACTCTATACCCTCAACACTGCCATCAATCGAGGGGAGCACTTTAAGATATCCACGGAACTTCATATTGATCAGTAAGTATTTAAGATAAATATTATAATAACCTGATAAGAAATCAATGAGCTTCATTATATGCGAAGTTGTGGGACTAAATAAAACTGCCATTCATAACAGCAAAATATGGTTATATTTGTCAAAAAAAACAAAATTCTGAAGATAGGCATCTATTCAGCAGAATATCTCGTATAATAATATATCGAATGAATTAGCGGGATTAGCAGGATTTCCCAAACCCCACAAAGCAAAAACTACTACAAATTTCGATATTTTAAAACAAATTGTAGGATTATTTTCCCTAGACATTTACTTACCTATAACTATTTAAAAAGAGCTACATTGGAAATTGAACATAATGTGTTTAATATTATACAGGGTTAGTAAAAAGAGCCAGCACGCGTAAATATCTTCAACACCGCTAAACAGGGACGGGGCCATGGGGGGGGGGGGGGGTTGGGGGGGCGTTGCCCCCCCCAAAGTTCCTAAAATATATCGAAAGTTGGGAAAACTTGGATAAAAAATTTAAAGTTGGGAAAAATTGGTAGACAAAAATTTGCGCATCTTATTTGCGAGGACTAATTATTATTATTGTCTTTTGAAAACTACTCAAGAATGAAGTTAACTGACTTTTCAGAATCCATCGGTGTAATGTCTGGAGATCGCAGAGGCCCATTAATGGGACCACTAGTAGAAATTATTATTCCTGGAATTATGAGCTTGATGTCGTTGGATTTAGATTAAAAAGTAGAGTTTATTAGGCATAAAATAAAAAAAACTCGACCATTTGAAAAAACAAAGTTGATGATGATCGCGAAGAAACGAAACGTCTGATCAAAAATCTAATAACATTATCATGTAGTGGAGAAAAAGTAGCAATGAGAATGTGAAGTTTATTGTGCGAGATCATTTCAAATAAAGTCAGAAAAAAATAAAAACGATTTCGGCAAAATTCGATTTTTCATAGATATCTTCGGAATATGTAATTCGGAATTTGGAATTTACGAAATATCAAAACATGACGCCACTGAGCTCAGTAATGCGCAACTCTTTCCAAATTAAACCAACCCTGTATCTCTCATGGTTGCCGAGATCAGACTGCATCCTTATCCGGGACACCCTGTATACATGTCAAGCTTTTCATCAGTTTTTGAAGTGAAACTTCTTAAGCGGCGGTCTGATATTTAGGCAAGAATATGGAGATTGATTTAAAAAACGCATCACGTAACGTCACGTTTTGGCAAATTTCGTTACACGAGAGACGAGAGAGAAGGAATATATAGTAGACTGTAGAGAGACGGAGAAAGCGAGCCAATGACAATCACAGACGAAGAAAGATTCATACAAACCAAGGTTTATGAGCAAAGAGGATTGCCTATTGTTGTCAAGCGCAGATACCCTTGAGACTCGCCTTGAGACTCGCCTTGAGACGTCACTGTAGATGCGCGTCTCCCTTTTGTGTGGCCTTTCGTCTTTACCCCGACTTATACGCTAAGTCTAAAAGCTGTATGAGGGAGGGTATAGTTTTTAAAAAGTTTCACCTCCCAACACGTGCACAATGCTACACATGATTTTTCTTAAGTGAAACATCTTGTAAAGTGTATTGAAAGACGCGTCACGTTAACGTAACGACACGTTTTTGCAAATTTCGGCACACAAGAGACGAGAGAGAAGAAAGATATAACGTAGAGAGACGGAGAGAGACAGCCAATGACAATGACAGCCGACGAACGATTCACACAAACCAAGGATTATAAACAAAGAGGATTGCCTATTATTGTCAAGCGCCGTTACCCTTGTGACGTCACTACAGTTTTTCTTTTGTGTAGCCTTTCGTCTTTATACCCCGACTCATGCGCTATGTCTAAAAGTTGTATGAGGAAGGAAATAGTTTTTAAAATGTTTCACTTCTTAACACGTGTATGATGCTATATATGATTTTTATTATGTTTCAAAAAAGTTGGGAGAATTAGGAATGTCACCCCCCCCCCCAAACCAGAGGCCTTCGCTACGTCCCTGCGGCTAAAGCTGCGTTCAGAAAATTCAGTAGCATGGTTTTTGCGGAATTGACCAATGATGTCGTGCCTATTGCCAGATTTTTCAGTCTTGCGACACGATACTTTTCGTATCTTGAATGGGATGCCCTGTTTGTTTTTATTGCAATGAACTAGGCGCCCCAAATTTAGTCATATTTTAAATTTTCAAAATTCTATCTCTACTAAATATGACAACACCGCACTTATAGTAAAAAGTAATACCCTAGCGCTTAAAAATTTTCAAAACCGCTAAAGCTTCGTTCAAAAATTGTGTTATCTGGGAATGTTTGGTCATGCGGAATTGGACAGTGATTTCGGCATTGTTGCCAGATTTCACAGTTTTGGGTACTACGCATATTCTTTTTGTTATCTTGAATAAAATGCCCCATCTATTTTCATTGTAATGAAATGTGGCTGCCCAATTTTGTCAGAATACAAATTTTTAGAAATTTTATCTCGACAAGTTGCTGAAATATGACAACACCGCATTTTCAGCCAAGAGTACCGCAACGCTCAAAAAACCTCAAAACCGCTAAAGCTACGTTCACAAATTCGGAATCTGAGGGTTTTTGGGCACGCAGAATTGAAAAGAGATATCGGCATTGCTTCCAGATTTCCCAGTTTTGCGCTACATCTAGTTTTTTTTGTTATCTTTCTTAGATACCTTGCATATTTCTATTGCAATAAATTGGGCATTTGCCCTGTTAGATACTACTGATACTAGTGAGAACTATTCTGGTATTCTGAGATATATACCTATTTTAGAATGAACACTAAACTTATTCGCCCGCTTCAGTTGTTCTTAAAACAATTATTGTTGCCTGAAATGAAATGGTTAAATCTGATACCAACATGACGGTGCTCCTCACCCTATTTGAGGAGTGCCAGGCAGTAGTAGTAGAAGTAGTGCATTGGAATATTGGAATAGTCACCTTGGCCTCTTGATATGACTCCACTGGACTTCTTTCATGGGATAATTTGAAGAACCGCTTCTACAAAAATCCTTCAGTAAATTTTGTATGAACCCAGCGATAGAATCCGCTTCAAAGTTGCACTTACAACATCGATGTTGATCAAGAATGGAAGACATTTATGATCTAACTATTGAATTATTGTTGTTTTAGCCTGTTGTTTGTTTCTTGTTTTGGAATCATACTGATTTCGGTACCTACGCTTTTAATCCATTGCAATAAACTAGAGGCGGCATTATATTTAAGAGGACAAAAAGACTTCTTACGTATAACGCGTAACTGCAAAATCTAGTAACAATTCCGATATCACTGTCCAATTTCCCATGATCAATATTTAGGCGTTGCAGTACTTTTTGCTGAAAATTGCGGTGTTGTCATTTTTCAGCAACTAGTGGAGATAAAAGTTCAAAAACTTGGAATCTCACTAAATTCGGCACGCTGAATTCATTGCAATAAAAATAAACAGGGCATTCTATTTAAGATAAGATCAGTTCCTAGTAATTTTGGACACATCGCTAATTAAAGTAATATTTTAGGGGCTAGCTTATAGGAACGGATATAAATATGGGCTACATCAGTCAAATCTGTTGTTTATGATTAAGTCGCGATAGATAACTCACCATGGCATATTACATCATCGAGCAACACACTTTATTATCACATAGCGCTCGACTCCTGACAAAATCTTTTCAAATTACTAAACTGTTTTTTTTTTTTTAGATAGCTAAATTCACATTGAAACTGTTATTTTATTTTAAGTTATTTTATTTTTTTTGTTTGTGATTTTAAAAGGTCAGTTACTTACCTATGAACTGCTGAAATTGGAAGGTTTTTTTCCAATATTTGTTTGAAATAAAGTTGAAAACCCAAATGGCCTTTTTGTGAAACTCGGTTGAGTTTTGTTTACGCATTGTATAGACATTTTCGTTCAAAATGCGTTAGCATAGCCTTGGTTTATTCAAGTTTGCCTCATGAATTTAAATTTTAAATACATGCAAAAACTGGAAAAACATATCAATTTGTTTTAATAATCTATTGGCTTTTTTTAGGCTGAGGGATGTGGAATTTTCCGTTTGGATTTTCAACGAAGAAACACAAAAGGCTCTGGGATTCGATATAAACTGGGACGCCAACAGAGATCCGAGTCAAAAATTGTTGGTTGCAGCCAATTTATCGACTGCCGGGGACTTAAATTACAACGCAGATCTAATTGTTAGCTATCCAGGAAGGACTATCATTGGAAATTACGAATTTCTATTTGAAAGTACGTAAATTCTATGCAATAATCTGTTTATTATGACAAGTTTATGGTATTCTACCTTGTAAATATCTAGAATGATACATCAGGTCAAATATTTTTTGTTGGAGATAATTCAATTGGCGAAAGATCCCGAAGTAGGCGACATCTATGATCAACTTTGGTACTCAAAACTCAGTGAACAACAAAGCAAGTTTGCATTTGGCCCCCCTCATTATTTCTGGAAGACACTGAAAGTTTTCAATTTTCTACAGAATATTATTCTTTTTATGTATTGTTTCTGTTATATAAATCACAAAAACACCATAAAACACAATTTAACAAAAACTAACCTCAAAAAACTGGCTTTGTTGTTCACTGAGTTCGGCAGACCTATTGCTATTTTTCGCGTAATTTAGCGCCATCTATTGGTACAGGAATTTCGCCAATAGTTTATGAAACAAATAAGCGACCAAAGTATATTTGTTTTTTCGAGGCGCAAACTTCAAGAGACAAGTTCTTTCATTAAATATACATTATTTTATTTTACGCTAAGCCTATATGAGTTTGGCTGCATTCGAATAGTAATCGATTAATCAACGATTAAATCGCAGTAATACATCGGCAAAATATCGTAAAGCCTTGCTCGGATAAATCTGCAAAGTTTCCCAAATACACTAATTAATTACAAACTCATCTGCTGGGTAATTTGGTAGGCAGAATGGAAGTTAAAGTTGGGATATGAACACAAACCATGTGCGGGGAAATTATTCCAAATTACTGTTCCATATATTGAATTAATTAGATCGTAAAATTTTTCTGTGTCATACAATATATATTATAGGGCTTTTATGTTAGATTTTGATCCTGAAAAGAGCTTAGTTCTGAGTATAACGTAACCTTAAAATATTGATAATCTAGGTAGTCATCAATTCTTTTTTTTTTGATAACCTATACCTACAGAGGTGCAGTCTCGGATACAGGTATCTACGTAAGCTTACAAAATAAAATAAGGTCACATTAATACATAGTAGAATGTTATGCCGGTTTTCCACTAAACGGACTGTTGAGTTTGTGTTTTGTCTATGTTTCAAAACAAAAACAAAACTGAAATAAACACAAAACTCTTGTTTCCATCAAGCGGACTACGTTTTGTTTTCTCGGGGAAACAAAACTCCAACTGTCTTAAAACATGCGAATCTTGAAAATGTTTGGGAAAAGTTTGAGTTTGGGTTTTGTTTTTGTTTTGTCTGTTTGGTGGAAAACCGGCATTGGTTCGATATTCAGCAGGGTACCAAGGTAAGGGCAAAGTAGGCACATGCCAATGCGGGGACGAGCCACGAGACGCGCAACAAGAGAAATTTAAGTAGTAACAAATGTGTCAAGGCAATAATATGCATGACACATATTGAAATGTCCAAATCGACAAAGGTAAATCATAATATTCACTACCAAAACAAAAGATAAATTGATCAGACAAAGGGGAAAGGTATATTATCTGTCAAGATACTGTGGTGTGAAATCATTCAGTTCTATAGGAGCAAAAACACTTTACAATGAAATAAGGGAAGATTAAAAATAGGATATTTTATGGGACTATGGATGAGGACCAGCTTGCAAACTGTCAGAAACAATCGCTTTGCTATGCTACCGACTTATATCTTGGAACGACGGCATTGAAAACATGTATGGGTTGACAGTTTGCAAATTGTCAGAGACTCTTTGTGAGAAATCACCTTTGATCTGATGAATTATTGAAAGAATGAGTTAATGAAAGAAAACATGTACAATCAGTTTTCCAGTTGGGACTGATAATGTCAGCACCTTTCTATTCTGGAGCTCTTCGGGTAATTTTTAGGATAGTATAGGTAGGCAATAGATTACTGGCGTAGCGTCGCATCAGTTGATACAGGTTCCAAATAGTGATATTGTGGAATAGGTACTTATCGAGAAAAGAAGTAAACAGTACCAGGTTCACCAAAATTTAGATGTTATGGTAAAAAGTTAGTATCTTTCCGAGAAAAATGAAATAAGTTATAAAATTTTTGTTTTGCAAAAATTATACTCCTCTCCAGAATCAGGGTTAATTAAAATTACTTTAAATTGAAAGAAAAATTATATTTTGTTAAAAAAAGAAGGTAAGATTGTATATGGTTAAATCAACGCAACGCTGTACACCTTATATTTTACCCATGACCAAATAGTAGTGACTCATCGGAACTAGATACGACGAATTACAGCCAGCCCTATGACAGAAAAACTTATCCAAGAATTTAAAAAGTGACCTGCACGTTGGAACGCAATGAGTACGACCTGATGGCGTTCTTGAAACCCATGTCGCCATGTATAAAAAACTTCATTCATATATACAAGAAATTCATTTGCATATTATTATTATTTATTGTTTATAAACAGGAGCCGAACCCCAGCAGTAGGTAGATAGGGAGTCGGGTGGAATGCACTAGCCCAATGCTCTGCTCATTCATTTAAAATTAGGAACCCACGTTCTTAGATGAATTGAAAAAATACCAAAAATGTTACTAGGTACTTGATACTGTGGCACGGCAGCATTTGCCGTACGAATGTGATGGTCGAACTCTCGTTGGTCCATATATGTGGAGAAAATTGGGCATCTTTGTTGGATGTAAACTTTCAACAAATAATATCGGCGTATTTATCTAGCTGATGTTGATCGTTTGGCTTGTGTGACATTCCCATATAGCCAAATAATATTTTTTGAAGCTTCAAAAAATATTTTTTTTCGGATCAAATATATTTTTAAAACATCCAAATATCCATAAAACATATTTTTAGGACATTTTTTGAACATTCTGCGGTAACGAATCGATATTTTTTGAATATCCATACGATATTTTTCAAATGTGATCAAATATTTTTAGAAAGTATGAAAATGTTTTTTGAACATCATCGAAAAAAAAATAATCATCATTATTATAGAAATAACAAATAAAATCATTAAATAAATAAAACGTTTTAAATTTTTTTCGTGTATTATATATTCCGACCTATACTTAATAATCAAAGATGAAATTAATAATACAAATCTTATAAATAATATTGAAATTCAATCTACAAATAAAAATATTTTTATAGAAGAAGAATTTAAATAAAAAAATCTATATTCAAATATAATTCAAAAAAAAAATGCGGATTCAGAAACGATGTATTAAAAATGTTTCTATCTGTATGATATTTTTGAGAATATTTTAAAAACATTTTTAAAATATCCAAATATATTTTTAAAACGTCTTTTGGATATTTTGTGGAACATTTAAAAAAAATGTAAATAAAATATTTTCCACACATTGAAAAAACTATATTGGTTTTGTGAACATCAAAACGATATTTAAAAAACATTATTAAAATATTTTGAAAACATCATTCCAACATTTACGATGGTAATTTTTATGGGTAGGTACCTATTAGGTAATTAAAACTCAGAATAAAACTCAGAAATATTTTTATTTGTGCATATGCTTCTGATCCAAGTTATTGCCCCTCAGTTCAGCACCTGCCTGGTTATGGCTTATTGCCCTTCGAGCTGCGCCTAGCTTTTCCACAGCTCCTTTCTTCTTCCTGCAATAAGAAGTAATTTGTATGATTATAATTTATCAATATCATTTTTATAGATACAGGGTGTTCCAACGAGGATTGATCAAAGGCTTCTTTTCTTCTATCTTTCTTGTTACTCTCTTTGTATTTTTGAGAAAATCCAAAATACCTATCTCATGTTCCTGCAGAATTTAATTATTGTATCAAAAAATCTTTGAACCAAAAACATAAGACGCGCCATGGATGATGGCTATCATGGATTCTCACAAAAATACAGGAAGATTCAAAAAGAGGCTCCCCGTTTTAAGTCCTCGTTGGAAAACCCTGATATAAATACCACTTACCGTGGACCTTAATCGAAATCGCAATTATTCTCAGAGCCAAATAACGTACCTACACTCGCACACAAACCTCACAAAACGGAAGCAAAAGTTGGAAAAAATAAATAAAATTGATACGCATCAAAATACTCAAAATAAATCAAATATATATTGACTTCACTCTAGCTGAACCCGACTCAAACTGAAACTACACATCACACGTCGGCGCCCGTCGCCTCGCCGGGTCCCCCTCAAAAAGTAGCACAAAACTACCAGTGTTGCCAGAACCGTTTTATAAGCTTTCATGGGTTTCCAGAGTTCGTATTTTCGAATTCATTCGAGTACATTTCGTACACGAAATTTGATTGACAGCAAATGTAAATTAAATGGGAAGCATTTGAAATCTTATCAAATTTTGTATGCGAGAATATTCGAAAATACGACCCCAAGGTAACGGTAAATTTTTACTTTACCGTTACAGTGGTTACTTGGTTACTAGCTGACAACACTGCGCGAATTAATTCAAGCGGTAGCAGGTAGGTATATGGCGCCTAGAAACAGCAAACGGACAAGCAAAGTATGGACAAGTTAAATCAAATCAAATGCTTTGTTTTGGTTCGAAAAAAGGACGGTTCTAGATTTTGTGGTTCTAGAACGGTTCAAAACAATTGCACAATTTATAATTGGAATCTTTGATAGCCGAGCCGTTCGAGCGATGGAGCGCGACTAAGGGCGGGTATTATAAAATTATTTTAACATATAACTAAAAGTTAACTTTTGGAATTACTATGAGAAGTAACGTCATTCCAGAAGTTAACTTTTAGTTAGTCTGTCAACATAGTTTTATAATACCCGTCTCGAGCCAGACTCTAGAGACCGAATGTTTTAAAAATGTTCAGCAAATGTGGGGAAAAAAATATTCTTTTTATTATGTTTTTATGATGTTCAAAAAATATCCATTTAAAAATATTATTTTGGATATTTTTGTAAAACTAATGTTTTTTTGAATACATTTTAAAAACATTTTTTGAACATTTCCAAACCAATGTGTGGTCACAAATGTTGTTCGAATATTTTAAAAATATTTTAATAGCGTTGTTCAAAAAATATCCACTGTTGGATCAAAAAAAAATATCCAAAAAATATTTTGTGCTATATGGGTTAAGTCAGAAAATCATCATAACAAATTGAAGTTCTGCAACAGGGTAACAAGGCATAGGGTGAAGACTGCGAATCAGGTTGGAGCCGCCGAAGGGATATTCAATTTTATTCTGTTCACCGTCGAAATTTTATGGAAGATTCAATGAACTTGTTAGGTACTGAAAGGTACATTCTCTTCGATCACGGAGTGCGGACCATCCAAACCCCAGTATGAATTTGTGTATGAATGGAAATGAGTAGAGTCTATGCAATGAGAGTACAGCCCTATTGGTTTCAGTGCATAAGCATGGGCTCGAAAAGCAGCTTTATACAATTATATACCAAAAGTGAGTAATGGGAGGCAATCTCAAGAAAACTGGGTACATGTGAATTGCAGGAAGACCCTGCGAGGAATATAAATATCTACGTCTGACTCCGCACTTGATAAGCCAAAACGAAATATACAGGGAAGAAGGGCAAAATCCATGTAGAAGGAAACACTATGCATATCGTAAAGCAATAATAAGCTCATATACAACACCATCGTGAAAAGCATTGAAACACGCGGCTCGGACGTGTGTCCAATTAGAAACAAGACAAAAAAAAGTTTCATGTGCTACCGAAATGGATTTTTGGAGGTGTGCAGCAGGTGAACTCCGGGTGGAGAGAGCCATAAATCAGAGTACCTATACGAGAAATTCTGACAGTTAAGAACGTGCGATAGAGGACGACATAAAAAAAAAGTAACTAGTATGGCACGTTCATGTACAATGAAAGGAATACTATAGAACACCAAAACAAACAGTGGAACCCAGTTGGAGAAAAGAAACGATGAAGACATAGAAAAAACTGGAGAGAAAGCGTAGATCAAGAATTTCGCAACAAAGCCTAGATGAAAATCTATGGGCAGATAGAAACCAGTAGAGATTGGGAATCAGAAGACAGAGAACGTTGCGAAACCGATTTATATACAAACGTATTTTATCCAATAGTAAACAATGTAGATTGGATAGCAAGGTTTAGCGCATTGTGACTTTTGCAAAAAGTATAGTTCTTTTTTTTAGACCATTTTGGTTTGTACCTTAGAGCAAGAAAAGAGAAGGGTGGGAGAATGGCGGAGGCAAGTGGAAAGATTTTTTTTTAGTTTTTGGTCACCAGACTAATGAAGCTAATACAATGCTTTTTGTGTTTGGTGAGGGTGATTTCTGTAGGACGGCACTTCACCGAAGTTTCAGCTAGAATATATTCACATGATTAATTTCTTTTTAGTTTTTTTAAGCCTGGATGTTTTTCAAATATTATTGATTACCTAGGTACTCATGTTATTTCAAGTTTTGAATAGAATTACCTTGCATTTAATAATAAATGACACTGCGAAATGCCAGTTTCCTATAAAATGTTTACCTAGACATAAAATAAAGTTTAAATCTGTATACGTATTATTTCAACTCATTAAAATTTACAAAACAAAGCACGCTGTCAGGGAAAACATTAAAAGAGAAACGTCGGCCAGAGTAGTGGAATCCTGTTGGCGATTAAATAAAGCTCTAAATTTTCGGAAATCTATTTTAGCCAGATAAAGGGTTTCGAAGGAAATAAATTAAATAAACTTCCCATTTTTAGAGGGTCACATCGATATGCTGGCCAGTATCTCATGGGATGACGGCAAATCATTGGCAATTAATTTCAATGCCAAGTACAGATATGAAAACGAAATATTCTTTGGAATGTCTTTTGGACTAAATACACCGGTTGATTCTTGGAAAAATATAAAACTGTCAGGAGTGTGAGTATTTTTCTTTCCTTAATATGTATCTTCTCACCACCAGCTTATTTGTATATTTCAGATTTGAACATATAGGCAACAAATATGGCCTTAATGGAGCTCTCACATGGAACCCTAGACAAAAAGTCGCCATTGATTTATACGGAGATTATACTTCGAAAGGCCCGAATTTCGACTGCAAATACAGTTGTTCTGTGGAAAGCACTCTAAGTAATATCCCTTACGTGAATACAACTGTACAACATTCTCAAAATTCCACTGATTACAATACAATTGTTTTTTTTATGGTAATTATTCATCTATCAACTAAGATTTCGCAAACATTTTGTTGTATTTCAGTATAATCCAGATTTTTTGATTGATGTCGAAAGTATGTGGAAGTTACAGACTAACGAAATTTTTTCAAACCTGACCGGCACTGTTAAAACAGTCACTCCATTTAAAGGATTTAAAAAAGGAGTTTTTGTTAGCAAGATCTTCTATACTGCTAATAAATATTTACGTGGAGCAGCAGAAATTGATTTGGATCATAATAAAATACTGATTGATATGGAAGGCAAATTCAAAAAACTAATAGACAGCATGTTTGTTGCAAATATCACTACTCCAGATGAGACGTACGAATGTAAATTTAAACTTTCTAAGAAAGACAGGCATTTTATTGCACTTCTTAGCTATCCAACGGGACAGCTAGGAACTGAAGTATTAGTTGTGTTGAACGATTTGACGGATTTTAATGTGAAACTTTTACTAGCAACTCCAGTGGAATTTTTGCAGAAAATTTTGATTATTGCAAAACTACAACCAAAAGAGGTAAAAAAATATATTCTTTATCGACCTATTTACGATTCGAACCACAAGCCTTCCTGGCATCATTTATTTATTCTACCCGTGGACTTAGCTATTCCAAATTATGAATTTTTTCGTGTGCAATGCATTTATGAGATTCCTTGCGAATACATTTGGCATACGACATTCTTTGAGTGATTCTATGTGACTGTATTCTGAGTTTGTTTTTGACTGACATAATATTTTCAATCATAATGGAAACTGATCAAATCTATGGAAAAAACTTAAGGAAAAGTGCTACCTACTCAATTTAAATATAGGCTCAATTCCTTTCACAAAAATAAAAATTACATTTATAAAAACTCTAGCCAAATCAATAAAGGTAAAACGATATTTATTTAACATTTCCCCCAACCTACTCGGTTAAGTTTTCGGAAAAAGAACGAACTAATATAATATACTTTGCAGGCTGACTTCCGTATAGGCTGGAATTCACTTTTGTTGGGATTTTCGGGGCGATGGTATTATAGTAATATCATTGACTTCCTGTACACATACAGGATTTATACACCCATAAAGGATTTTGAAGACAACGGCATTGTGGCGAAACTTATATTCAAAGAGGGTTTAGACTTTGAAATGTCATGCAAACTGTCCTTATTCAAGGTAAATATGGAAAATATATGTCTATATTTCTAATACCTATGCGTATATCGAATATGCAAGCAAATCTATTGTTTGTATTTTCAAACTTTAGTATTTCTTTGTAATCCTTATATGTTTATTTTCTTTTCTTCATGTTCATGTTTTTGATATTGTTTTTTTGTGTGTAGTTTATAAGGTAAATCAAATTTCAAGGCAGTCTGTAATTTGATTTTTGTCCGATGAGTTTTCAAGTACTTCTTGTTCACGCCTTTAATTTGTCAAGGTGCAACGCGAATCCAGCAATTCGACCCCTTCTGAATGGGCCTAAGCTGTTGAATTGCACCCAGAATCTTGAACCAGTACGAGTCTCGAGAATGTTGTACCTAGTTATCGCCGAATACATGGCCGATCCGGTGTATCGCGTATATAAGTATTGCTTATACTTGAACGATACCTACATGTAAAGTGGTGAACATATCAGAAGAGTTGAACAAGACAAAAATCGTATGTCGACCGCCACGAAAACAATTCGTAACAATAACAATGTTCCAATCTCAGCTTTGAAACGCACATGCATTCGAGTAAGCTCAAAAACTGTCTGACAACGATTTTGACAAGATAATTTGGGCCAGCGTTAACCATGGAACATTTTACAGCGCGGTTATACTTTGCCAGTTCATGTCAACGAGTAAAAGCCTAGTTGGAGCGAGTTTTTGTACAGAGCATTCCAGATTTGGGCTTCATACTTGCGATGGACGAGTTAGTGTCTTAAAAGACCATGTGCACGATAGACACAATACAACATTGTGCATATCACTTTATTCGGGTGAAGGCTCAGTTATTTGCAGTGTGGCGGAATTTCATTAACGGGCTCACACGGACTCAACGGTGATGAATACTTACTGGACATTGTGAAGAACATGTTCCAGGACATTATTTTCCATTTACCACGTTGTTGGACAGAACGTCTATAGACGTCTAATTTTCATCGATGTTATGTGACACAACGTCTATAGACAACATTTTAAATAAATAGTTGTGACATAACAACAGTAGACGTCGGCTCTCATATATAAATACTACACGAACAAATTTATACTGTCACCACACGCACAGAGAAACATAGGTTAATGTGACCGCATTTCGAAATTTGGCCGTTTAGAAGAAGGTGTGGGTGAGACATGTCAGATCGACATAACGTCGGTAGACGTCCGGCTGCCATTAGTCAGACATTGTTGTATTTTTGTTGTGAATAAGGTGTATACGAATATTTGCATATAAAAAGTAAATAGTTTTATTATAACAATTTCTTGTGTACTGGAGATTCGAAAAACCTTAAGCGGGTGTATTATTTCGTTATTCGTTGATGATTATTCTTGAATAAGAATTGAGGTTATGTACGAAAAATATTTGGCGCGCGTTTCGGAAATTGTCTGTGACGTCTATAAACGTAATGTCACATTACATCTAATATGTAATATGACACGACACCCATGGTCTCGTCCAAATGTTTGCAATTAAAAAAAAAAAAACTGCTTTTTTTGCATAAACTATATGCGCTGATAGAAATGCAGCACTTTCCGTAGTCTACTTTGCAAAATACATAAAGAGTGTCCACAGCACTTGCTTACACAACCGACGCACTGTCCATCAACGTGTTAATTATAATAATTGCGACGTTTCGCCCTGTGAACTATATCCGGTCGTCGGTCGTTATGAAGCTATAACTGATACATTTCCTTACTACATACATTCGAATTTTGGTTCAATATTTTCTCCAATTTTTGATGCTTCATCTTGGAAATATATCTATAGAGAAATGCTCCATTTCTAACCATTTTAATAAAACTTATTGAAATATAATGTTTCGTTTCTCAATAAAATTTTATGTTGGGCGTCAATTTTCTGGGAGCAGTGTATATAACTCGTTAAATCGTATACATTTTTCGAACAAAATCTCTCAGAAATAAACCAAGATAGCGGAATTAGTAGAAAACATATTTAAAGAATTATAATGATTTATCTTATTGTCCGTTTCTTGCGAGTCTTATTTCCGAGCGAACTTTTCTGAACGTAGAATGTGTTAAGCTAGATTTATAATGACTACTAAGTATCTTGGAGTTAAAGCTTGGAAAGAAAGGAGCAGACATGGATCTGAATAAGCGTCAAGGATAATATGGATATTTTATGCGTTATAATAATATTAATTGGTTGTAATGTTGCCGCTCTGAGAAATTTTACCAAGGGATTACTTGACGATAAAATATTAAGTTTATAATAATACATGATATAAGGTAACGAAAAAGGAAGTATAGGGACAATATTTATACATCATTTGTATTAATATAAATATTTGAGGGGCCAGCATGGAATTGTAGTTGAAGTAGGTATGATATCTACTTCAGGGAAGAGCTCATTGAAAAAATCATGCATGAGTAGCATCTGAAAGAGAGAAAATTCTTGAAGGTAGAAAGTTGATGATGGCATCGTCCATCGTGTAGTGGGAAAATGTTTCTTGTTGAAGTGAAATTTATTTTCGAATAAACATTATTTGCAAAGTTTCATTCGATGTCAAACTAGAAACGCTACAGGAATAAGTCAAAAACGAAATTGGAACGATGAACGATCCGACAAGGAGCCAAGTGTGCCTAACCTACAACTTCCGACCGCGAAACATCCTGCACCATGTATAAATTTTAGTTCGAATCGGATCCTAGAACAATTGCATGGTATGAATAACCGAAAGCAATATCATTGTATTGGAATCACGGGGAAGTGTGCTTAAAATTCTCCAGACTATTCCTGAGGCAGTTGCTTACAACAGCCTTCTGAGGTGATGAAACAGGCATCCTGCAGAAATTGAGCAATGACATGAAGGAGATAGTACGGTTGCCATATTCGCTCTAGAATACTTCATTAAACAGATAATTGTCCAGCACTTCATCGATATTGAATTGAGTTAATATAACACAATAGCAGAAATAGTTATTTTTGTACCATCAAAGGCAGGTGAATTTCAATTATTCTTGGTTTCCTGTCATGTATTTTTGTCACCATGACTCCGTGTGCGAACGTGGCATTTCGCACACTGGAGAACCATTTCGCGCACGGCGTCATGGGAACGGTAAAAAAAAATACCTGAAAAAAAAAGTGACAAAACTGAGGGACGTATCAACGACATCCGAGGAACCCACGAAAACGCAGGTTGATGTTCCTCATAGGTTGGAGTCGATGTGTCAGATACCTATACTTCACAAGAATCAGAGAACAGAGAACCAATAAAGTGTTACAGCTATCGACGGAAGAGATATCACGAGACACTGTAGTTAATATTCTCGCTTGCAAGATGACGATCTGGCAAAATACTGCAGCAGCAACGACCACGATTCAAGATTCAGAAACTTAATAATTTGTCACAGCTGAGCCCAAGAAGGACATATAAGTAGAAACTGTAGACGACATTCCCGTTTAGAAGACTGCAATCCGGAAAAATTCTGCGCGAAGGAAGAATAATAATCAGGTGACGAATAAAAAGCTACAACTTCGACCAAAAGGGTAGGTATATAATTAAATGCTGTAAGCTACATCCAGTTCTTTTTACCGAAACCGCTACCGAGAAAAGAGAATTTGCTCCAGATATCAGGAAAACGCCACTATGCTAGTGTACGGGTGCGAACACCGGTGACCACTGATTCCTGAATCTCCAAATTATAGGAGTCGTTCATCAAACGAAATTATAGAAGTCTCTTTGCCTATAGTACACTCAACGACAAGAAATAAGCTATATTGATAAGCTGTTCGCTGATATCTAGAAGCCATCCAGCGCATTCTTGATTCAACTAAGCTTAAGAACATTTTCTTTTCTGAAATAAATTTTGATTTTTAGAAACAAAAATTCAAAGTAAAATTCATAATCAAAATTTCACTCATGCATTCATAATTATTCTATTTGTGGGGAAACGCTTAAAATATTCCCAAGCTAGTTTCCTAACACAATGTTCTTAATAGATAACCCCTAAAGCCTCTGTTTGCTATAGGTTTAAAACTTTTCGCTCTATATTAAGCAAACGTTTCGCCCTTATGTCACGTCTGATGCAAGCGTTAGCACATGCAAGTGTTAAATTGAATAAAACCTATGTTAAAATGTAAATCAGCTTTATGCTAATCCTTCTACAGATACTTCTGGGCATTGAGGATTGCGCTAGAATCCCCCGGGCAAGATAAAATAAGATGTTTGTAGAGCATTATAGCGTTATAGTATAGTATTATTATAACTATAGCTAACAGGAAATACAAAATTTCGTTTTTCCAACGCTTGATCATTTTAGAATGATATTTTCATAATTTATGAAATAATGACATGATGCCGTTATTCTGTAAACAATAATCAGACTAAAGGTGGTGGATGAAGTACCTATTTAAAAAAAAGTTTACATGAAAATATGAATCGTTAAAAAAAAAACGAACGTGAAAAGGAAAGGGATGCGCTTCTAAAATCTAATTGGGTTGCCCGCTCTGCCGCCAAGTCTCAAGTTTGAATTGGAAGGAGTAGAGCCCATGAAATGAGATACAAAAAGCCTCCAAGGCTGCAGTGTAGAGTTTGGGCTCGAAATGGTGAATAAACGAACGAATGAACGTGAAGACAGTCGAATAAAGTTATTATTTCTGTTCTTTTCTAGTCGTTAATTATCAAGATTTATAAGTTATTTTTTGAAATTCGCGTACTTATAGGTAAGTAATTAACTCCAGACATTTACAATATTTACTGTACTAGGTCATGAGCGCGCTTCGCGCGCTTTTTTTTTAAATCAAGTCCATCAAAATAATTATAAAATGGAAAATATTTATTAGGTAGGTGTTGTACAAAAAACAGCATAATTTTTGATTTAAATGTACATTATACATTAAATGTAACAGTGAGATAAGTTGTATAGATGTTATTCTAGTGAAGAAATTTCAAATGCGATGGATGGAGTTGGTGACTAATTATTTTTGTATGGTATATCATAATGATTTTAAAT